TTCTGATTAGTTTTGTCTGCTTAAATGAAAATACTGACTACACTGGGTAACTAGCCAAGTGGTCTCCAATCTTTGCAGTACAAGGGCCACATTGTATGTTTACTAATATTCGCAGGCCGAAAAATGGTTTTAAAAATGAATGTCAATTGTACAAATTCGTCTCAAGGGAAAACTTTAACTTGCTTTAAGCATTAGCTTATCAAGAAGCAAACTAAATCTGTGGTAGTAAAGAAGGAAATCTCCAGAGTCGTTCCACTCCTAGAAGAACAGTCGGTCTTTAATCCCAGTTCACACTGGTGCGGAAATTTCAGTGATTTCTGAGTGTTTCTTGCACTGCATCACAATTGCACTCCATTCATGCAAATGTTAGTGACAATCCAAAAACTTTGCAAAACGCAGTGTGATTAGGTGAATCAGATTGCATTGGTGTTCACATGATCTGATTTCAGTGCGGCAAGAAAAAGGTGTACACCATTTTCGTGCGCTGTGATTTGAACCATACAGAAGGTATGGGCATAAGTCGCACTGCAAAGTATCACTTGTGATTTGAACAGGAATATGGTGCGATTCTTGTCTAAAGCACATGCGGTTCCCGCACTGCATCAGTGTGAACTGGGACTTAAGGTCTTGAGAACATCAGGGAATTAAGCCCAAACATTACGCCTGTCATAATCTACGACAGGCAGAAATACATAGTGAAAAAAGAGGCAGATACACAGCAATCTATCAAAAGGGGCCATATAACTGAGTCTTTGGGGCATAAATTGACAGATTGATACACAAAAGTAATAAACAATTAGAAAAATAAAGTTTGCCAAAATCTATACAAAAACTGCTACGAGTAATGAACCACCTTCTACCACCATAAAAAAAGAAGACAACGTTGCCTTTTTTTATGGTGGTGGAAAGAGGTAATTAATTAATCTGTCAATTTATGCCCTGGATGCTCAGTTACAGTGCCTTGAAAAAGTGTTCATACCCCTTGAAATTTCCACGTTTTATCATGTTACAACCAAAAATGTAAGTGTATTAAAGGGAGTTTTATGTGATCGACCAACACAAAGTGGCACATAATTGTGAAGTGGAAGGAAAGTGATAAATGGTTTTCAACATGTTTTACAAATATCTGAAAAGTGCGGCGTGCATTTGTATTCAGCCCCCGAGTCAATGCTTTGTAGAACCACCTTTCGCTGCAATTACAGCTGCAAGTCTTTTTGGGGATGTCTCTACCAGCTTTGCACATCTAGAGAGTGACATTTTTGCCCATTCTAATTTGCAAAATAGCTCAAGCGCTATCAGATTGGATGGAGAATGTCTGTGAACAGCAATTTTCAAGTCTTGCCACAGATTCTCAATTTGATTTAGGTCTGGACTTTGATTGGGCTATTCTAACACATGAACATGCTTTGATCTAAACCAATTCCATTGTAGCTCTGGCTGTAAGTGTAGGGTCGTTGTCCTGCTAGAAGGTGAACCTCCACCCCAGTCGCACGCCTTTTGCAAACTTTTACAGGTTTTCTTCTAAGATTGCCCTGTATTTGGCTCCATCCATCTCCCCATCAACTCTGAACAGCTTCCCTGTCCCTACTGAAGAAAAGATTCCCCACAACATAATGCTGCCACCACCATGTTTCACAGTGGGGATGGTGTGTTCAGGGTGATGTGCAGTGTTAGTCTTCCGCCACACATGGTGTTTCGCTTTTTGGCCAACAAGTTCAATTTTGGTCTCATCTGACCAGAGCACCTTCTTCCGCATGTTTGCTGTGTCCCCCCACATGGCTTCTTTTAAACTACAAAATGGGACTTATGGCTTTCTCTCAACAATGTTTTCTTCTTGCCAGATTTGTGGTGTGCATGACTAATAGTTGTCCTGTGATCAGATTCTCCCCCCTGAGCTGTGGATCTCTGCAGCTCCTCCAGAGTCACTTTGGGCCTCTTGGCTGCTTTTCTGATTAATGCTCTTCTTGCCCGGTCTGTCAGTTTAGATAGACAGCCATGTCTTGGTACGTTTGCATTTGTGCCATACTCTTTCCATTTTCGGATGATGGATTGAATAGTGCTCTGTGAGATGTTCAAAGCTTGGGATATTTATTTTTTTATAACTTAACCCTGCTGTAGCCTCCCTGACGGTGTTCCTGAGTGTAGCTCGAGGTAAAGTTTCAGTACCAAAATCGGTAACCCCGAGCTACACTCGGGCTTACCATGCGGCGCTACTTCGGCATCTGTTCTTCACTTACCTTGTCCTGCGCTCCCTCCTGCAGTGTCCCAGGCAATGTAATCTGGCGGATGCCGGCTTCTGTCATCTGGGTTCCGTCCCGTGCGAGCGTCAGGATGTACGGGGATGGAATTGGCGGGAAATTTAAAAATGACAAAAAGTGACATTCACTAAAAGTGGTCTTGAAAACGCCCTGTGGGTGGGGCGAAATGCATTGATGCACTTCTGGTCTGCCGTCTTCTTGGCCTACGTCACTTCTGGTATTTGGAACGCACGCCGACTTTTGCGGGTAAAGCAGCCATTTTTGAGGTGGAAAGCTGGTCATCCTCTACAGTGATCCTTAAAGCGTGAGATCCCTATATTTACAATTTGGAAACTTGTTCCTTTGAAGCCTTTGAGGCTATTAAACAAGGCCTGTTATTTTATTGAAACATGTGAGTGTCCTTATTCTATGGATTTATATGGTATTGAGTGGCAGTATTACACTATGTAGCCTTTCTTTCCTTGCACACTATTGAGGATTCCATGGAGAAGTAGAGTGGAGTCGATTGCTGTATCTAAGCAGGGTGAAGGCGATTTGAGTTCCTCCTGAGGGGCTATAGGATCCCTTATATCCTATAAGGCTTATTACTCACCTCCATCTGGTGAGTGCGGTCAATATTATTTTTCACGTGGTGATTAGGTGGAAGCACATTTTGGAACATTGTTTTGAAAATCCTTTTGGGAAAATAAGGACTTATGTTTGAAATATTATATATATATTTTTGCACGGACATTTATTTGTGATTATTTTTATGTATTTAATTTTTGCGCTGTTTTTTGTGTTATTTATAAAAAGTGACATTCACTAAATACACTAAAATCACATAGTATAACATTACTGTATCAAACCATTTCACATACATTTTGTCCCGAGTGCTTTGTCCCTGTGCCCTGCCTGCATTTTTACTGTTCTTATTGCTTGGAAACTGAGAAACGTCCATGGCGTCCAAAAAGTGTCCCTTTAGGTCAAAAGCGGTTTTAGACCAGCTAGAGAACAGCGATTGTAAATTAGAACTACTTGCAGAATTGAGTGATAATGATTTGTGGGGAAATTCATCATCAGACACTGAAAACGATTTTGCGACTTTGCTCAGTGATGTGTGAACTTGGCGCTATATTTCAAATTTCAGTGTTTTTAGTTTGATTATATTATTGAATTAAATTTATTATTATATTATTATTTTTTATGATTATTAAATTATAATTTATGATTTCGTGTTTCAAATTTTATCATACCCGGGATGTTTACTAGATTCTTGTTCGGACAGATTTCAGTGAGTTATTCCTAAAAATTACAGGCCTACAATTAAAAAAAAAATACATATTTCCATGCAAAAAAAGTACCGCTTTGAGCACAGAAATATGGACATAATCAGACCGCTAGGGAGGTTAAACATCTCCACAATTTTATCCCTGACCTGTCTGGTGTGTTCCTTGGCCTTCATGATGCTGTTTGTTCACTAATGTTCTCTAACAAACCTCCTAAGGGCTTCACAAAACAGCTGTATTTATACTGAGATTAAATTACACACAGGTGGACTCTATTTACTAATTAGATGACTTCTGAAGGCAATTGGTTCCACTAGATTTTAGTTAGGGGTATCAGAGTAAAAGGGGCTGAATACAAATGCACGCCACACTTTTCAAATATTTATTTGTAAACAATTTAGAAAATGTATCATTTTCCTTCCACTTCACAATTTTATGTGCCACTTTGTGTTGGTCTATTACATAAAATCCCAATAAAATATATTTGTTTTTTGGTTGTAACCTGACAAAATGTGGAAACTTTCAAGGGGTATAAATACTTTCAAGGCACTGTATATGTCCCCTTTTGGTAGATTGCTCTGTATCTGCGTCTTTTTTTTTTTTTTCTTTCTCTGTGCTGTACCTTGGCCATAGAGCCCCACTGTATATATTTTTATTTTAGCGAGTGGGCAGTTGATTGAGGGTACACATTTGGTACCCAGTGTATGAAGTTACCCTCTTTTTTTAATAGTTTTTTTTCTATCTAGAAATACATAGTGACTGTACCCCATTCTGAGCAGTACTTGTATTTAGGGCTATATGCTTTTGGAGACTGCTGTTCCAAGCAGTATTTGCATTTAGGGCCATAAAAACAGCTGCTGTGTATCTCAGCCTCTTATAGACTTTTAGCGGGCTGTACATGCGGCACCTGTGCCTCCCGGGCACCCAAAAACCCTGAGATTTTATACTTCACGGGCTCAACCGATTGATTGCAAGATGTGTAAGACCAGTGGTAGAATGATGCTACAGAAAGCTTTAGAATCTTATACTTTGTCAGCTATTGTTTTTTTAGGATTTCCTTGAGATCTTGTCAGTCTCTCTCTCTCTCATTATAAGCCAGCTGCAGGCCAAGACTCCCTCTTGTTTGTATGAATCTGGAATGAAGGAGGTTGGGGGGGGGGGTCCTCCTTTTCAGGGAAAGTTGCATAACTTCTTTAAACTAAGAATCTTAAAAACTCCAGTGATGATGTAGGTCAGTGCTATCCAACATAGAAATTGAAAGCTATGATCAATTCACACATTACCAGGTAGTATAGTTTATGAAACATGATTTAGTTCACTATGAAAATCATTAGTTCAAATTTTTGTGCAAACTGTATTTTTGTGATGTCTCCCTGTTTTACAGCAATTGTCTATGGAGGCTATAGTAAACTTTTAACTTGTAAACAACTCGGTTCTTGTATTAAATCTATGGTGTTTTTCTTATCAGGAGGACATGAGTTCACAACAGTTTCCCCGGCAAGGGGCCCCTATTCCCTCACCACAGCTTGCAAGTAGCGGAGGCACTGTGGGACAGAATATCCCTGGGTCAGGTAATGTTTTTCACTGCATTTTGTTACATTTACATCTTCTGTCTTGTTCCATGCAGACCTTCAAATACTTTTCCTATGCAGGATATGTCCATATGTAAATGTATTCTCAATCTAAAATCCTGTAATTGGCCTATTTTTAATTCAGGAGGTGAGGAAACACCCCGGGATATGGAGAGCCAGCCCCGCGATTCCCTTACTGCTAATTCAGTTCTTCCCCCTCGAGATGATAAACAAGAAGCTGTAGTAGTCAGACCTTACCCCCAGTTGCAGATGGTTCCCCACCACACAGCTAGCCCTCTCACCATGGCTGCTCAGTCCACTCATCTTCCTGCTGTTCCACTCTCTTTCCCTGAGGGAATCTTGAAGGTATGTGCTTTTGATTATTTAACTGTCCGATAAACTGTTTTAGTCATCCAAAAACATTACTGATGACGTATTGTGCTTCTTTAATGTGCATGTTCCCTTGCTGGATGTCAGCATGTTCCCTTGCTGAATGTTTTAATCTTGCGTCCTAGAATAAAAGAAATCTTAGATCGTTTTATGTTCTTTTGATATCCGATTCCAGCTTTTCAGTACATCTTTTAGCATTTAGGATTTTACCATCTGTTGCTCCAAAAGAAGTTCTTTACTAGACTTTTTTTTTCATAGTCTTTTAGTTCTCTTTCAAATCCTTGTTGATGGCAATTATATGAATATTTTGTAAAGGCATAAGTGGACTTTTAATGTCTTCCCACAGCAGCCTCTGAAGCCCACTATACCCAGTCGCCCCATTGCACCAGCACCACCCTCTGCCCTGTCTGCTGTACCTAAAGTCTCTGGGCCAGTGACAGTCACCATGGAGAGTGGTCTTCCACAGGCTTCTGCTATTCCTGTTGCCACCATCAGTGGACAGCAGGTCAGTGCCACGTGCTAAATAGAAAAATAGTTATCTTCATGCTTTTTTTTATTGTGGATTCTGAGCTTACTAATTGTGCTGTCGTAGTAAAGGGTTTTTAGTAATCAACAAAAACATGAGAACCCTATCCTTTGAAGTTCCTATGGATACTTGCTGATTTTGATTCTTACTGATTTCATCATTCAACAGTGTTTTTAGCCACCTTGAGGCTAAAGCATGGTTGTGAATGTATTTCTTACTGAGCGTAAGGCAAGAAACGTAATATATTTTCTTTGTTATCACTGCCTGCAATACTGATACTATAGCATGTAGAGACCTTTCCTTATGGATGAATTTAATAGGGCTTCACAGCCGTGATGTTGTACTGGACTGGTATTGGTTTCAGGATTTTCTGGGTTTGCATGACTTTATGACCTTAAGCTTCCTGTAGCGGACTCTTTATACTAAAACAAAACTCTCTGCCCATTTGAAATACAGCCAGTGTAAAGGTAAATTTTAAAGCAGACATAGTCAGTTTATGACCTCCCTCTGCCTTATCCTGTGTATAATAGAGAAAAGACACTGAATCTGTATGATGTGGAGGGACTGAAAGGCTGGTTTTTCATGGGGAGCAATTCAGCAGCTCTGCCTTGATGGTGGTTAACCTCAGACATTAAAAATGAAGAATTGCCCTCTGTACTGTGTACTTGTGTCATTTCTATCTGCTTCTCTATCTACTTTTGAAAAGTTTTTCCCTGACACCAAGAGAAAAATAGGTGACATTAGAGGGATATCTAGCACACAGCCAGTGATGGACAGATTCAGCTGTGTTCCTGTGTGCTCTTTGAAGAGGGGGGTCCCTTCCCTTCTCTTTTCTCTCTCAGCTCTCCTCACTGAGCTTTGCAGAGTGTAACTTCAGCTCCCTGCCCCCTTCTTTCTGAAAGCTCAGGCAAGCTGTATATATTCTGAATGTTGAACACTGTGTAGAAGAGAAAACTGCAAAAAAACATACAACTTACGTTAGAGGATCTGTTTCATCTGTGTATCACCTGAGGCCAGTCACTTGACTGGTTATTTGTAAGGTTTTACAACCACTGTAAGCTCCCCACAAATGTACAAATGTTACAATCTCATCTACCAACACATATGTAGAGCAAGGGCCTGCCTGATTATGCATGTTGATTGAGCAGTTTAGGTAAGTCCACATATATACATATTGTGACATCTATGGTGACCCTTACACACGGGTCCATCCCATCACCACAGCTGTGTTCCAAGGCAACTTGGAGATTTGTTTTTTCTTCATATTTGACCTATGTTCTTTCTTTAGGGACACCCTAACAGTTTGCATCATATCATGGCTGCCACCAATGTCCAGATGTCTATTATCCGCAGCAATGCTCCAGTACCACCTCTGCATATTGGAGCTTCTCATCTCCCTAGAGGTATTATCGCTTACGCCAACATTGCGTGATAGCTGTTCTGATGAATAAAAAAAAAAAAGTGTGTGTGGGCATAAGTAGACTTTTAGAGTGATGTGTGTGTGTGTGTGTGTGTTTACCAAAACATATTCAAGCTATAGTTATATAATGGATATGGGCTGAATGTGCACACGCGCAGGCAGGTTTAATTTGAGGGTATGTACATCCAAATTGGAGGAAGGGTTTAGGAATTACAGTTCTTAAGGAGTAGCCACCCCCCCCTTTTTTTTTTTTTTTTTTTTTTTTTTTTTTTTTTTCAAGGGACCAAAAAATATTTGGACAGTTGAATATAATCATAAATAAAATGTTAATTTTTAATATTTTGTTGAGAATCCTTTACTGGCAATGACTGCCTGAAGTCTGGAACCCATGGACATTACCAAAGACTGGGTTTCCTCCTTTCTGATGCTTTGCCAGGCTCTAACTGCAGCTGTCTTCAGTTCTTTGTTTGTGGGTCTTTCTGCCTTTTTTAGTTTTGCCTTCAAGTGAAATGCATGCTCAATTTTGTTGAGATCAGGTGATTGACTTGGCCATTTGCAGAATATTCCACTTCTTTTCCTTCAAAAGCTCCTGGGTTGCAGTGTGTTTTGGATCATTGTCCATCTGTACTGTGAAGTGTCGTCCAATCAACTTTGCTGCATTTGGCTGAATCTGGGCTGACCGTATATCTCTAAACACTGCAGAATTCATCCGCCTGCTTCTGTCTCCTGTCACATCATCAATAAACACCAATGGCCCAGTGCCACTGGAAGCCATGCATGCCCATGCCATCACACTGCCTCCACCATGTTTTGGGTGGCATTGTGTGCTTTGGATCATGAGCTGTTCCAAGCCTTCTCCATGCTTTTTTTTTTTTTCTTCTTTTTTTTTTCCCGTCATTCTGGTATAGATTAATCTTAGTTTCATCCATCTAAAGAATGCTTTTCCAGAACTGGTCTGGCTTTTTTAGATTTTTTTTGGTAAAGTCTAATTTGGCTTTTCTGTTTTTCGGGCTTATGAATGGTTTGCATGTTGTGGTGAACCCTCTCTTTTTGCTCTTGTGAAGTCTTCTCTTGATTGCAGACTTTGACAGTGAAACGCCCACCTCCTGGAGAGTGTCCTTCACTTGTCTGGAAGTTATGGGTTTTTCTTTACCATAGAGAGGATCCTGAGATCATCCACCACTGTTGTCTTCTGTGTACATCCATGCCTTTTTATGTTGCTGAGCTTACCAGTACATTCTTCTTTCCTCAGAATGTACCAAACTGTTGATTTGGCCACTCCTAATGTTGCTGCTATCTCTCTGATGAATTTGTTTTGTTTTTGAAACCTTACAATGGCCTGTTTTACTTGCATGGACAGCTTCTTTGAACGCATGATGTGGATTCACAGAAATAGATTCCAAATGCAATTACCACACTTAGAATCAACTCCAGACCTTTTACCTGCTTAATTGTTGAAGAAATAACGAAAGAGTAGCCCACACCTGGCCATGAAACAGCTTTTGATTCATTTGTCTAATTACTTTTGGTCCTTTGAAAAAGGGGGGATGGCTACTCCTTTAGAGCTGTAATTCCTAAACCCTTCCTCCAATTTGGATGTACATAACCTCAAATTAAACCTGAGAGTGTGCACTTTCAGCCCATATCCATTATATAACTATAGCTTGAATATGTTTTGGTAAATACCTGAATAAAACGAAAATTGTGCCTGTGTCCAAATATATAAGTATTGATCACCTCACCATTTTTCTCGGTAAATATATATAAATATAAATATATATATATTAGTGCTATTGACATGAAATTATCACCACATCTCGGTAACAACCCATGCAATTCATACACACAAAGAAACCAAAACAAATAAGCTAAGAAATAAAGTGTTACTACACCCAGGACCCTGCATTCACTATATCTGGTCTCCCACAGTAAAAACTGCATGGAAATGCAATTATTTTAGTAGATATAAACTGCTAAATACCTTTTCTCATCAGCAGTTAAAGCAGTCTTGTGACTTCAGCTGAGCACTGGTTAAAGCTTGTAGGAGGAGTTTTCTTTCTGCTCTAGGAGGATGTAGAACCCCTGACCTTTGTCTTGACAGTGCTGATTGGCCCTGTGCTGATCACATGCACTCTCCCCCCCAAAAATCCTCTAGCAATACACGCCAAACTGAGCATATGCAGAGTGTCTCCACACAATATGTCTTATCAGGAGAGGGGGGCACTGGAAGAAGGGGAGGATCAGAGAAGTCAGGATCAAACTGCATTTGTACACCATGTAGAAGATTAACCCCTTAAGTTCCACAGTGAGTATATCAAGCATGCTTTACTTCATATACAGACTGATTTTACTGTTGTGGGTTTTGTAACATTTCATGTGTAATAAAATGGAATGACACAGGGAAAAAGTATTGCACACATGAACAAAGGAAGGTGCAAAAAGGCATGGAAAGCTAAGACATCAGCTGAAATCTATCAAATCAATTTGCCCCTTGTCAGTGCAAATTAATATCAGCTGGTTCAGTCGCAACTGATAGTCTCATTACCAAGGTGTCCCCTCATGATGGGTAACAGCAAAGAGCTCTCGCAAAACCTTCACAATCTCATTGTTGCGAAACCATACTGATGGCATTGGTTGCAGAAGGATTTCTAAACTTCTGAATGGTCCAGTGAGCACTGTTGGGGCCATAATCCGAAAGGGGAAAGAACATAATTTAACCATAAACCGGCCATGACCAGGTGCTCCTCAAAAGATTTCTGACAGAAGAGTAAAGAATTATCAGAAGAGTTGTCCAAGAGGCAAGGACCACTTGTGGAGAGCTTCAGAAAGACCTGGAATTAGCAGGTACAATTGTTTCAAAGAAAACCATAAGTATTGCACTCATGGCATATATGCATACTAACCACGCAAGACTCCATTGCTGAAGAAAAAGAATATTGAAGCTTGTTTTAAAGTTTGCTGCACAACATTTAGACAAGCCTGTGAAATACTGGGAGAATATAGTCTGGTCAGATAAGACCAAACGTGAACTCTTTGGATGCCATAATACATACCATGTTTGGAGGTCAAATGTCACTGCACATCACCCCAAAAACACCATACCAACAGTGAAGTTTGGAGGAAGGAACATCATGGTGTGGGGCTGTTTTTCAGCACATGGTACTGGCAAACTTCATATCATTGAAGGAAGGATGAATGGAGACATTCTTGATAAAAAAAATCTGCTGCCCTCTACCAGGATGATGAACCTGAAACGAGGATGGACATTTCAGCAAGACCATGATCCCAAATGCTAAGCCAAGGAAACACTCAATTGGTTTCAAAGAAGAGAAAATAAAGCTGCTAGAATGGCCCAGCCATTCACCTGACTTGAATCCAATAGAAAATGTATGGAAACAACTAAATATCAGAGTTCATAGAAGAGGCCCATAGAACCTTCAAGATTTGAAAACTGTGGAAGAATGGGACAAAATCACACCTGAGCAATGCATACGACTAGTTTCTCCATACAGGAGGCATCTTGAAGCTGTTATTACCAACAAAGGATTTTGTATGAAGTGTTAAATAAATTTCAGTTAGTGTGTTCAATACTTTTTTTCCCTGCGTAATTCCATTTTATTACACATAATCTAATTAGTGAACTTTGTGTTAATATCTTTGTATGTATAGATTGCATGGGTTGCTACTGACATGGGGGAAAATGGTGATGCGTTCAGTACTTTTTTTACCCAATGTGTGTGTATAATAAAAAAATAAATAAAATATATATATATAGCCTTGAAAAAGTATTCATACCCCTGGAATATGTGCACATTTCATCATGTTACAACCAAAAACATAAATGTATTTTATTGGGATTTTATGTGATAGACCAACACAAAGTGGCACATAATTGAAAGTGGAAGGAAAATGATAAATGGTTTTTACATTTTATTTTAATTTTTTTACAAATATGTGAACAGTGCGGCACGCATTTGTATTCAGCCCCCTTTACTCTGATGCCCGTAACTAAAATCTACTGAAACAATTGCTTTCAGATATTGCCCAGTTACTAAATAGAGTCCACCTGTGTATAATGTAATCTCAGTATAAATATAACTGTTCTGTGAAGCCTTCAGAGCTTTGTTAGAGAACATTAGTGAACAAACAGCATCATGAAGGCCAAGGAACACATCAGACAGGTCAGGGTTAAAGTTGTGGAGAAGTTTAAAGCAGGGTTAAGTTATTAAAAAAAAAAAAAAAAAGGGAATGGTTTAGATCAAAGCATATTCATGTGTTAGAATAGCCCAGATCTAAATCCAATTGAGAATCTGTGGCAAGACTTGAAAGTTATTGTTCACAGACGCTCTCCATCCAATCTGAGAGAGCTTGAGCTATTTAAAGAATGGGCAAAAATGTCACTCTCTAGATGTGCAAAGCTGGTAGATATATCCCCAAAAAGACTTGCAGCTGTAATTGCAGGAAAGGTGGTTCTACAAATTATTGATTCAGGGGGACTGAATACAAATGCACGCCGCACTTTTCAGATATTTTGTAAAAGATGTTGAACACCATTTATCACTTTTCCTTATCCCTGTAGCTTGTTTCTGACTTTCTATGCTTACCTACTAGGGGCTGCAGCTGCTGCTGTGATGTCCAGTTCTAAAGTCACCACTGTCCTAAGGCCAGCATCTGCTCAGATGCCTTCTGCTGCTGCCGCCCAGTCAGCGGCTCAGCACATCATCCACCCACCTATTCAGGTCAGTTATATGATATTGTATGTACAGTTTTGGCACAGGAAATTCAGCGGAAGAATGTTATTTGATTGAGGGACCACTAAATAGCCATCTTTCACATGTTATGATTGTATATACTTGTTTTTTAAACGTGCTCTTTAGCTATATTGAAAATTCTGAACCCTAATTTGTCTGTTACTGCAGTCTCGTCCTCCAGTAACTACAGCTACTTCAGTGACACCAGCTGTAGTAGCTACAGTGTCTGCTACTCGTGCACAGTCCCCAGTAATTACCACCACTCCAGCCCATGCCGCTGAGCCTGTACTACGGTGAGTCATCTTGGTGCAGGACTTTATTATCAAATTTAAATTAGATCTGACATAAGATATAGCAAACATAAGTTTGTTTTTTTGTTATTTTTAGACCCACTCTGTCAATCCAGCAACATCCACCTCCTGCAACCATCAGCATCCAAAGACCTGCCCAGGCTCGGGACACTGGAACTCGCATTACACTGCCTACCCATCCAGCCTTGGGAGCTCAGAAGCAGCAACTGCATCCAATGACTCAGGTAATGTAAAAGAATATTGTGTGTGTGTGTGTGTTAGTTCCAGAGATACTATATAGGCAGTTGAAGCTGGCTGCTGAACTTGACTCCCAATCCTGTTAGTCTTCTCTAGTGCCCCTCTTCTTCACTGGGCAGGGCAAAGAATTTTTGTGGCTGAAAAAAAAAAATATTCTCATTTATTATTTTGTCAGTGTACATTTTCTCACTGTGTTTTGGCTTCCCAGACCACCCTGTGCCCTGCATAGTTGTAGCGTAGCTTAAGGTGACCCATGAGACCACTATCTTTGGGGTTCTATTTGATCAGCCAGAACAGCAGCTGTGGGACTACAGCTAACAAAACAGTGCAGAGGGGACCTACTGGTCGCAGCATCCACTCGGGAGCATTCTGTGGGTTACAGGGCACAGTAGAACTTCCGTTGCTAAGACTACAGGTAGTTGCAGAGCTGTGCTTGTGGGACTACAGGTCGCAGCAAGTATACATAGGGGCCACTCTACATTTCCTTGTGGGGTCAGGGTTTATCCCACACCCTATAGGCCTTTTGTGAGTTTCCTTGCTGAACTTGTCTGGACTAATTTGAACTTACTACTTCATGAGTAATGGTTACAGAATTTTGATCACCACAACCCCTCATCATCCTTATTTAAAGGTTATTTTGCATGTTCCTGGGTTCACCCAGACAAGGTGTTTATTTCACTAAAAAAGGTTTGCTCAGCAATACCCCATGGAGAGTGAGTTCACGAAGAAATCTCGCATGCCTTCGATGGAGCTGGCATTCTTTTATATCAGCAAGACCGTGACATACCCAGTGGACAAGGTCCTGCTATTTAAGGATGTCCACTACCCCCTAAGTGTTCACCAAGGTCCTGGCTCTGGTTCTGCGGCTCTTGCATACGCAGAGCATCCTCGTTATAGAGTACCTGGATGACTTATGTCTGAGAGAGCAATCTACTTCACTTCTGGAGACCGTTGTGTCTCACACAGTGCACATGCTGGAGAGTTTGGATGGATTCTGAATTTTCAGTTGTCTACCCTACTCCCAACTCAGAGGTTAGAATATCTGGTCCTGATGCTGTGTACAGGTGAGAGTGATCCTCCCTTCAGGCAAATGTCTTGCTCTGAGGAGTCCAGCATATTTGCTCAAGACACTGAGAAAATCCTTTGGTTGACCTTTGCATTATGGTTCTGGGAAAGATGGTAGCCTCCTTCAAGGCTTTGTTTCATTTCATTTGCCAAGTTTCTTATTAGGGCCTTCCAACGAAATACCTTGGTGGCATGGAACAGTTGTTGGATTCTCTGCTCTTACTTGCCAGCACAAGATTGTCTGTGGACTGGTGGATCTCCACTAAGTTCCTGGAACTGGGAAAATCATTTTACCTTCTATCTTTGATTGTCCTGACAAAGGATGTCAGCCTGGTGGGCTGTGTTGGTGTTCTAGACAATCCTTCAGTCCAGCGGACTTGGTCACCACAGGAGAAGGTGTTGCCCTTCACATCCTAGAACTGAGGGCAATTTGCCATGCCGTGCTACACTGATTAGTGCAGCTGAAGGGCCTCTATGTGGCGATAGCGTACATAATCAAGGAGGCACCACAATTCTGGCAACTCAGGAGAAAGTGTCTCTCATCCTGTCTTTCGCAGAACTCTGTTCGCAAGTCACCCACTCTCCACATTCCAGGCATGGAAAATTGGCAGGTGGATTTCCTCAACTGTCTGCAGAGTGTTAGGCTTTTCACCTAGAGGTGTTCCAAGAACTTTCTCAACTGTGAGTAACTCTGGATGTGGATCTTTTGGCATCCAGGTTCAGTGCAAAGCTGGACAGATTTGTTTCAAAGACCAGGGATCCTCAAGCATTTGTGTTGAATGCTGAAATGACACCACAGGACCAGTTCTCTCTAATCTTTGCCTTTCTGCTATTACAGCTTCTACCTCCTCTGCTTTGCAGGATTCAAGTGGAAGAATTTCTGATGATTCTGATTGTTCTCGCCTGGCTTATCAGAACTTGGTACTCCAACTTTGTGAATATTCCTGATCAACCCGACCTGCTGTCACCAGGTTCGATCTTGCATCCTTCTTTAAAGTCACTGGCTTTATCATCATGGCTATTGAAGTCAGGGTCCTAAGTGACAGGGGAAGTCTAATTTGGTAATTCCTATTCTGCTATAGGCTAGGAAGTCGACTTATAGCAAGATTTACAACAGGGCTTGGAAGTCTTATTTTGCTTTGTGATAGATTTGGGGTTGTCATCCTTGCAGGTATGTGGTAGGCTGCACCCTGGCTTTTCTCCAGTTTTGACTTGATTTGGCATGGAGTACAATCAGAAGTCAAATATTCAGCCTTAGCGGCACGCTCTTTGGTGCGGACCTTTGTGCAAGTCATAACTCAGATTGTTTCACCGGTTAAGGTTCCTTTGACTTCGCCAGACCTCAACTTGGTACTTTCTGTATTGCAGAAATCTTTATTTGAACCCATCCAGTATATTCCTTTAGTCCTTGTGACTCAAAAGGTTATTTTTCTGGTTGCAGTTGCTTTGGTTCACAGAGTTTTGGAATTGACTGCTTATTCCTGTAAGGAATCCTTTCCTTGTGCTTCACTGTGGCAAGGTGGTTTCATAGCTTCAGGTGTCCTTTTTGCCTGAGGTGGTTTTTTCCACCTCAACCAGGACATTGTGTTGCCATCCTTCTGTCCTAAGCCTCAGATGTTTGGGCACAAGGCTCTTCACACCTTGAATATGATTTGTGCTATCAGGTGCCAAATATAATCAATGGCTGCAATTAGCCAGGTTTCTTTATGATTTCTGATGACTCAAGGAAAGGTCACACAGCTTCAAAATCTACTATCTTGATGGATCTCTCAACTTCCTTCTCGAGCTTACGGTCTAAAAGAAAAAGGTCCACCATTTTCAATGTCTCATTCTCCCAGGAGTGTCTTTGCTTCCTGGGTTGCTCATTAGTCTTTGCTAGCTCAAGTTGTAAAGATGCTACTTTGTCTTTAGTTCATACTTTTACAGTTTTACCATGTGGATGTTAGAGCCGCTGAGGACGCTACCTTTTCAATGATGTGTTGTGCAGCTTGGTGCAAGAGATTCTAGCCTATTCTGGTTTACTTGTTTGGGCTTGTTGCCGAGTTGTCCTCCAGTCATATTCAGTACTTTGGAACATCCCCTATCGTAATGATGATGATTCCCTTTGTCCTGGGATGTACAATAGGGATTGTAACATGCTGACTTTACTATGGGTAATAACGATTAAAGGCTAAGTTCACCTTTTGGGACATGCTACATGTTCCACCTGTATTTCAGGTGGAGCATGCAACATGTTCCAGCTCCTGCCCCTTCTCCCTCCAATCCCTCCCCCTCCTTATGACAGCAGGTGGAGGTTCTTCTCCCTGCTGTCATTTTTTTAAAAGCAGTGTGGCTATGCAGGGGGCTCCGTCCACACAGCTGTGACCTTTATTCAGAGATTTCTGTGAATTTATAAACTACAAATACCGTCTTCCACTGCGGCAGACAGACTTGAAGTTGAGTAGCGCTCTTGCTGTCCACTGACATGGCATCTGGCATTCATACAAAGTCTGTACAGAGGTACAGGCTGAAAACCAGAGGACATGTCTGCAGGAGCCCACATTGCATTACTGATCGTGGGCACAATGCTTTACAGGCTCCTGCAGGAAAAAATAATAAATGCACATTTTTTTTCTGCAGAAATATGTGCATTTATAATTTTTTTTTTTTTTTTTTTTTTCCTGTAAAGGTGAACTTGGCCTTTAAACATTTGTTTGCTTAAAGGCAAGTGTATGCTTTGTTTGAATTGCCCTGGTCTGGTAGGTTCTTTTGAGAGAGAACAAATTGCAGGAACCCATAGAAACAAATAATTTTTCATATAACACAAGATATAAGACAAGCACAGATAATATGGTAGCTGCTAGCACAAAAGGCAAGGTAACAAACCTACAGTAATCAATTCAAATGTAAGTGCAGCGCTAAAGCAGAAGTGACAAATGCAATCATAAAGTGCTTATGTGAATAGAAGTGTTCATACAATAAAAACGTCTCAGATCATATAAAATCATAGAATCATAAAAAAAAAAACTCAAAAAATCTGAATATAAATAGTCCGTGGCACTACAGGGCACAGAAGTGCCAAGTGATACGTGTGTGCTTTTTAGCAATATTAGTGATTATACATAGTCCGTGGCACTACAGGTCACAGCAATGCCCGGTGATCGTGGAACTACAAGGTGCAGCAATACCAGTTGGGATGTTCGAGAGCACTCATGATCTAACTTGGGAATCCACTGCCTTATATGGATGTGCACTCACCAGTCACTTATGCTTTAGCGCTGCACTTTACATTTGAAATCATTTTCATTCTAGCGTGTCAGATCGGTGAAAAGTGAGACGTTACTAAGGTCTACTGCCCTTTCATGAATTCTGCTCACTTTGAGTCACTTCAGCTATTTGCAGATCTGTGATGTTTGTAATGGCATACTTCCTGTGTATATTTAAAACTGGTGCAATGTCTTTATCCAGAAGGATTAATTTGTGATTAAAGGGTTTTTTACTTTCTCATTGATAGAAGACTCTTTTTGGCACTGGCAATCCAGTAGCTGCAGCAACAGTGGCTCCGATTTTGGCAACGAACACCCTTCCCCTCTGTGACAACGTCAGGTAAGAGTTTTTATTCTTAACACTGAATTTGGAACACATATAGTAAAATGTTTTGAGTGTTTGAACTTTTTTTTTTTTGCTTTTTATTAAATCCATTTTCTTTACTCCACTGTGGAGAATTGTGTGGAAAAATTGGTTGAGAAAAGCCTATGTTGACTCAGAGTTGACTCTTTCTTATTGTCCCACAGTTTTATAGGCACTCTATTAAAAATAAATCCTTTCTGTATTTAAACCAATGGAAGTTCACCCAAAACTAAACTCTCGCAGGGTTAAAAAAAAAACAAAAAATAAAAACCAAAAAAACCTTTCCCAAATCATCTTCCAGGACAGCATATATGAGAGAGAGGCTACTCCAACAGGAACAGGAAATGCATCGCCAAAGACCTTTTTAGAAGGAAGTCTTTCTGTCAAATTGGTCAGTTTTAGTGTTTCCTCCACCTAGAGAAGATGCATTGCCTGGAGCCTGGGTGAACAAAACCGGTTTCTCTGGCTAGCCTTTTCTTGCACAAACACCATTACTGACCTGGATCGCCTGAAAAGAGCTGATAGGGTTCTTTGCTAGATTAACCTCCAAGACCTTCCTTAGTACAGGAGGGAAGTGGCTTGGTTCCCCTTTTGTGGCTGGCGAAGGCTATGTATGAAAGCTGCACACCCCCTTGACATGAACTAACACAGACAGCATGGGTTCGCAGTCTCGGTGCCTGGGTGCGTGCACTGTCTGCGCTATAGGGCACTGTGTTGTTGGACATGCAGCCTGCTGTGTTCCTGTTTGGATGATGCCATGCACTAATTCCAGAAGGGGGTGACGTCACTTCCAGGCATCAGAGGCTCTGTTTCCAAGCCTTGTTCTTGTTGAAGGGAAAGGGTCAGTTGGTGTCTTAATAGTGGTTCCATCCAGGAAAGGCTGTCAGGACACCTCACGTGGGAGAGCTAATACTGCATTTTGGATTCTTCGATGCAGGCTCCAGCTTGGGCAGATGCAGTTGCCCTTGGCCCATGCAAAACACAGGTAAGCTGAAGGTTGCTGTACCTACTTTGATTTTCACCCGTGTTCATTCCTAGGCTTTCACGTGGCCTGTAATCTGTCACCTGGGGTGCCTTGGTGTTGGGTTTACTGTGGCAGGGCACTGTTGGGCTCTCCCTATCTTGGACATAGGAGTTTAGGAGTTTTGACTAATTCTGTCTCTCTAGGACATATCACCAGGAGGAATATGCCAGTGTCTGTAGCAACCTCCTCTACAGTAAAAGAGGAATTGGACTCCACCTTCCAATCTTTAGGTCTCTATTGGCAGATATGAGACCCCTGCCCAACCTGGTCTGTGCCCAGTTCCTCTACTCCTGTATGCTCAACTGTAGGGGTTCCCCAGAAGGTGGATCTTGTGGGGAAGGTACTAGCCCATCCCCTCCCAGCTAGATTCATCTAGTGAGTAAACCAGGAAAAGGAAACTTCCTGTACTTTAAGGGAGGAGGATGATTCTTTCTGTGAGTATAGTAATGCTAACTCCCCATCAGCAGGGTCGATGGGTGGACGAAATCTAAGATACCTGACATTCAGGGGAAAGTGTCCTTGTTTTTTTTGCATACTGGTCATACATAAAAGCTTAAAAGAGAAGCAAATAAAAAAAAACAAAATAAAAAATATTATACTCCCCTAGGTCTACGCAGCATCAATCCGATGCTGCATCTATCCACCACCTGCTATGCACTGAGAACTGAGTGATCAAAGACTACTGATCACTCAGTTCTCAGCCTTCAGTGAGCAGACAGGCGGTGACTGTCAATCATCAGCTCTGGACCAGCTCTGTAACATCCGCTGACAGCGGACTTTAGCCTGCTGTTGGCTGAAAATGGGTCACAGGAGTGCAGAACGAAGTGCACTCCTGTGTTACCATAGGAGAGGTATAGCCAAAATAGCTTTGGCTATACCTTTTTTAAAGCAGAGCTAAAGTCCATAATACTTTGTTTCTTCAACGCGTTCAATCATCTTGGGACAGGGGATCTGTACTGGAGTGTAAACTGATCTGCACTTGCAGGGCTCAGTATATATTCTGAAGACAGCGGGCAGACAGTTGGGTCTATTTTATTGTAGAAGAGACCTTGCATGTGTCTTCTCCAATAGAATATCGGCCTGCTCCGTTTTTAAAATGGAGACTTTATTTCCACTTTAAGTGCTCGTATGCTCTTGCTGTTGGAGGGTGGGCACCAAATCACAAGGTACCGCAGTACCATGCGGTTCGGTGCAGTGCATTTTGAAAAAGTAGTGCAAGCACTACTTTTTCCTTGGTCTATTGCAGGTGTTTACAATTTTTGTTAATTTTTTTGCAGCCTGCAGTACACAAGAAAAGAAATAGAACATGAAAAGTGCATAGCGTGGATCACTGGTCCAGTATGCAAAGTAAGGACCTCAGATTGTGACACACTCCCCCCAACAGGAGGTACAAGGCTTCTACCAGGGCATGGTACACTCTGGGTCCACTTAGCTGGACACCATTTCTCAGGTGACCTGCTAAACCATTCCAGCCAGGTACTAGATTGGAGCTTCCATAAATAGGAAACCTTGTAGATGGTTCAGACCCGAAGGCCTTGCATTCGCTGCACCCCCTTCTTCCTCCAGACTTTGGGAAGGCCAAAAAATGACAGTGTAAAGTACTGTGCAGAATAAATGCTAGAAAAAAAAACTTATAAGTGCCTTAGGGTGCCAGTGTGCAGGCCTTCCAGCCTGTTATTAAACAAAAACTTTCTGCTTAAAGGTCTAGCCCAGCAAGCCAGTGTAATAAAGAATCTGCTGTGACTATGGTGCCCTACTTTAAAACCTAGTGGACTATTCACACACAATGTTGGGCATCTATTGGCTGCCACTTCAGGAGCACAAGCACTGCAGGCTCAAAACAAAGTAGAACTTTCCTTATTGGGCAGCGCTTGACCCAGAGGATTCTTGCCTCATTTCTGGAGCACCTCTGATAACTCAGGGGTGAATTCTTTCCCTTGGTGGAAAGGATATCAAGAGCGTCCCCACCATACCAGGGGGTACTCTAACCAGCCTCCACAATGACAAGGTCATAGCAGGGATTCCTCTAAATTTGATCATAGCCCTTGATTAAAAATGTGATCATAGCCAAGAGACAGAGCTGCAATCTAAATATGTCTAATGGCATATTTTATTTGAATAGGGAGTATGTAATGCACATTATGGTCACATTACAGGTCCCCATCAGATTAGTTTCCTTATTTTATAAGGGAAAGAGGGTGTTTTACTTACTAGTATGGCATCTTGTGCATGTAAGCTTAATACTGTGTTTTTCCCTTAATTGAATGCAGGCTCTGCTCCTCACACTCAAGTTTCCACCAGCACCATTGTTACTATGACAATGCCAACTCACTCTTCCCATGCTACAGCTGTGACTGCGTCCAACATTCCTGTGGGTAAGGTGACCATTTTCTTAGGCAGAAAAAAAATGTTCAGTTAGCTGAAATTGATTTATGCATTTCTAGTGAGCACATATTTGAACATTCTCTACATTTGTTATCATTGGCACAGTCTTTGTCTTCATGCCAAATTGCAGAGTTGATGACCAGGACTGTCATGGATCTTGCCAGACTTTTATTCTTCTTTTGTTTTTTTTGTATTTTTTATTTTAAGATTACCATATGGTTAAATTGTGCTGACAGTGATGCATAGAATGTTTCTAGGAGCCATAATAGCACCAATTTAAACAAGACAATATTGACAATTGGTATCACCAAAACATACAGTTTAATAAGAAAAATAAAAAAGAAACGGGCAGGGACAAAACCATATCTAGCACATTATTTGGAATAGAATATGCATTGTGGTTATTAAAAAATCCCTGGGGTGCAGGGGTATGGATCATTGTCTATGACTAAGAGCTGGCTCACACCAAATGCAAACCAGCATCAAAGAGCATGGACAGTTGGTTATGTGGATTCCAATGGCATGGTTCACACCAGTGCAGTCAGTTCCAATGCAGGGAAAAAAACAGACATGCACCATTTTTTTGCACAGAACTATACTGGAATGCAGCAAAATGCAATGGACCACACGTTTTTATTTAAGATGAAGAAAAAGAGGGGAAAATGCATCTAACGCACTGGAATACATAAAAAACCGTGCATGCAGAAACACATCTGGACTGTGTTTTGTGGTGTGAACCCGCCCCTTATAGAAAATTGGCATTAATTATGTGTGTGGCTATACTTGTGCAAGGGGTATTGGAAAAATAAAAAAAAGTTTGTATTCTGTTAAATGCCCACTAAGGAGAGGATATAGGAATAAACTAGGAGAAGCTAGTGCTGATGATCCCGTCCACATTGAACAAGCTTTTTATACATTTTTTGAGAGCACTCCTATGGTTTTTTTCTTTAGTTTATTTTATCCTTCCCAAAAGAATTAATTTTACATTTTAAACATATGCCTTTTGGTGGTGATTTAAATCCCAAATAAGGAAGAAGTATATTCTGCCTTAGTCCTTTATCCAATTAGAGAGATTCATGAGATTCTGCAAAGGATCTTCCATTTTGTCGTATATTAGTCTGTCCTGCACCTTGTTCCCTAAAACTATTTTGCAGAGCAACAGCTGCTTCATATCAGGTACACTTCCAGGTTTGTCGAATGAATGCCTGATTCCCCCCCCCCCCCCCCCCCCCCCCCCCCCCCCTATTTCTGGCCCTTATGTTGATATAGGAAACATTAGTAACATTAGGGGTTCAGCGAAGGTAATTGGTGGAAATATCTGTGAAGATTCTTCAGATAGCCCCAGTGCACGAGAGTGCAAATAATGGGGTCGTTACCCTAAGCATAGACTTGGACCCAACCCATATAACCTTTTTTTAGATTGCTAACAAACATACTAAAACAAAAAAAAACCAGACAAACAAAAAGGAACTCAATTGTGGTTTAAAAGTGCTTGTAAATCAGCTTCTTGGTGTCAGCCATACCGATTTTATTTAAAATGAAAACATTTCTTTCTGATCTTAGTCCTGAGATTGTCCTTCAGGACAGTCACCTTAAACAAGCTGTCAGCTCACTTCTATATGCTTTAGCCCTCTTTTGAAGCTTGATGAAAGCCTGATGAAGCCTGCTAGCAGCATGTTTAAAGTGATAATCCACACTCCCATTAAATCAGAACTAAAGGGATAAAATACTCATCTAGTGCCAACTCTTTTTTGCAATAAAAAGCTTGCCTGTTTACAGTTTATATTTTTTAATTTTTTTTTTTTTATTTGTGTTCAGTTCCACCTTTATGATTTCTAGTTAACATCCCCAATCTGATTCTGAAGAGTTTTATGTAAGTGTTTAGCAAAGTTGCTTAAAGTTGGTGGAAAGCTTAGAAAGTTTCCCTACAAAAGCTTGCTATACGCTCTGCTCTTATACAAGCTATAGCTTGTGTAAACAAGGCCTAAGGCCTTCTCGATATGGGAAAACATTTAGCATTGAACAGGTCTTTCTATGCTGTGTGACATCAAAGATGTAAGTGTGCTGCTCATTCAGGTGCTTAGACACTTTACCTCTTTCGTGTCTTGAGACATGTGATATGGATCTTTTCACTTCAATTTTTTTTATTACTCACTTTATCATCCTGTGTCTGTTAAATTTGTATTTTTCAGCTAAGGTTGTCCCACAGCAGATCACACATACTTCACCACGAATACAGTCAGAATATGGAGCAGAGAGAGGTAACCTGATACCTATACCTGGTCACAGAGCTTCACCAAATCCCATGACGATGGAGGCCAGAAGTGAAAACAGGTAAAACCCAGTGAAATTGGCACTGAATTACATGCTTTTCGTATTGGCATGGGGGATAGAAAAAAAAACACAATTCCCTAGAAGCCCTCTTCTGCCTTGCAGTCACCAGTTTTTATTAACTTTTAACGCCCTGCTAGGAAAGGTGTGTGCATTTTTAACTTTTATGTGACATTTAGCATACCTATTTATTTATTTCAGGTACTTGCATAGCGCCGTCAATTTACGCAGTGCTTTACACATAGATATTGTACATTCATATCAGTCCCTAACCCTCAAGGGGTGTACAATCTAAGGTCCCTAACTCACATTCATACATACACATACTAGGGCCAATTTAGACAGGATCCAATTAACCTACCAGCATTTGTTTATAAATAACTTGATTTTGCATGCAGCAATTCATTTGGACTCCACTTGTTCACTTTCTAGAGCCCCCACTGAAAAAGAAAAGCCTCATCGACTTTTTTTTTTATTTTTTTATATAAACCTTCTATCAGTATTTTACAGATTTGCTTCTAATTTTTTTGTTTAATTGGGAATGAGGCCTCCAAGAAGAAATGATCATTGTTATGTACTTGGTCTGTTTAGTCTGGTTTGAAAAAAAAACACAAGTACATCTAGTTCAACTGTTCAAAGGACAAATAATATGTATACAATCGTATATACACAATCCTATATCCACAGTTGATCCAGAGGAAGGCAAAAATAAAAATAAGAGCAAAGCATGATCCAATTTGCTCCAGCAGGGGCAAAACTCCTTCCTGAGCCCCCAAAGAGCATTTGAATATTCCCTGGATCAACTTTACCTGTAAATGTTAGTATCTACTTATATTATGCGCATTTTAAAGCAATCTACTGAGCTGGTCAGAACCAACTCTTGAGGGAGTCTCTTCCACATTGTCACAGCTCTTACTGTGATAAAACCTTTACATATTTGGAGATTAAATCTCTTTTCCCTCTTGACTTAAACAGTGCTCCCTTGTCCTCTGTGATGACCTTAAAGTGAATAACTCTGCACCAAGCTCACTATATGGACCACTTGCATATTTAGATATGCCTCTTAATCTCCTCTTCTCAAGAGAGAATAAATTAATTTCCTCTAATTCAGGGGTGGGCAACCTTAAAGAGGTGGGGATCTACCTGAACAACATGGGAGAAGTCAAAGATCAGCCAGCCAAGTGTCGCCTCCTCACACTTGATTTAAATCACTAATTGCCATACTACCATGTCGCAATCTCGTGCATTGCATGACAACCAGGGGTTTAAATTAGGTGGTGAGGAGGCAACATATCACCTCCTAACCACTTGTCAAATGCACTCAGATCGCTTTTCAGAGATGCAGCAGTGCCTGCTGCACTTGCTAATGAGCCAAATCAATCAGGAATTTTAAGACTGTTTACAAAACATTGTAACTGTCAGGTTTGTCACATGGCTTGTGAATTGGGTTGTGGCCCTGGATCATACTAAAAGCTTCACTTTGGGATTGTTTTTAGTAGTATGGGTTTGGGTGGGGGCTAGGAGTTAAAAAAAAAAAAAAAAAAAAAAAAAAAAAAAAAAAATTTTAGCCCCAAGTGGTGCTTTAAACCATAAAACAAATACTAACTTTTCTCATACATTAAGGGACACAGGAATTCAGATAGTGGCAAACAGAAAAATCATAAGCCAGCCCCAGTATAACCTCTCCTTTTTACATACATAAATTTACCATACCAGCATGCCTCTGTTTTTACTGGTGTCTAATCGTTTTTTTGTGCTGACCCTTTTTTTTTTTTTTTTTTTTTGTTCTCCCATTGACTTTTATTCAAGGTTCATTGCTGCTTGAGTTCATCTCTGTATAGCAGAGGTCCAAATCGTTTGACAGGGCACACAGGCTAACCTGGGTTCTGCATTGTGTCGCTGTCCAGACTTGGGTTGAACTAATACCGTGCAATCTCTGATGTACCTGGCTTAGCAATGTTGCTTGTGTGGTTAGGCATCCTCCTGTAGTCAGGGAGTGTTACCCCCTTGAAGCTACGTTTTGAGGGTGTTAGCCATTGTGCCTTGCCATGTAGACTGGCAGGTCTTCCCTACCTGGACTTGACTTTCATGCTTTCCCATTATGTTGTTCAGTTGAGAACAGATTTGTTGTTTCTTCCTTGTTTCCGAATGTGTAATTTCTCTACTTATTGGTGGGTTTTGTCACTAGGCTTGGTTTCTCAGGTTTGGTCTTTCCCTGCCATGTGGACTTATTCCCTGTAGAAGTGACCTATTATCTTGGTCTGGAGCAGCAGGTTGATCCTCCATGCTCCCCACCTTGGTTGTGATGGCATATTTCCCTATCCAGTAGTTGGCCCGACTTCATGCTTTGAAAGTTGGCCATCCTTCTTTCAGATGGTTCCTGGGCTGCAGATGATCCCCAGTCCTCCTAATGAGACCTGTTAGTGTTTGTTGCTGGGTTGCCCACCTCTCAGTTTGTACTATTTTTGAATGTTCCAACAGTATCTGAATTCCTGTGCCAGTCAATGGACGAGAAAAAAAAAGAAAAAAATACGTTTCGTGGAGTTTATCGATAGACACTGGTTCTGCACCTCTGTATTTTTGTTTATGCCTATAGTACTGCTTTACCATAAAACTGAAGCATGCTGGGTAGAGGAGGGATTCTATTGGGAGCTGGTGATATTTGTTTGCTAGCATCCAGTTCTCCTGTAGGTGGCAGTATAACCCAACTGTATTGGACTCCAAGAAATACATTTTATAGTAAATACAGAAATTACATTTTTCTACAGATTAGGACCATTTAGAAGATCAATAAACTAACTGAATTATACCTGCACTCAAATCAATAGATCCAAACAGGAATCTACCCTCTTTCAATAAATCTACTATATATTGACAACAAAATATTCCCCATATACTTTCTACAAAATCATAAATCCAGTGTCTCTGTGATTTAAATCCAATAATATAAAGTCCAGTGTCTCAATAACGAAAAAAAAAAAATATATAAAATTAAAAATAAAAATAAAATAAAAAGAAATGAAAAAATGTCTATTTCTTGCAGTGTTGATTGTTGTGAAGAACCTCAAAGAAAAAGAAACTCACAATAGTGCATTACCATAATACCAAAAAAAAAAAAAAAAAAAAAAAAAAAAATATATATATATAATAAAAATTTATGAATATATATATATATATATATTATATATATATATATATAATATAAAACACATGCACACACAAATGTGTATCAAAAAACAATTGTGCAACCTTTAAGTGAAAAATTATATATTTAACACTTGTGAGAACCTTCCAAAAGAGAAAGGTAATAAAACACTTGTGCTCATAAATAATGAAATCATGAAGTGATCTACTAAGTGAGATTCCTCCCCACACGTGACACTTCTAGTGAGTAAGGCCAATATACCCTTACCACCAGTAGATGAAACTCACGCCTTTTGTATATATATATAACTGGAAATCCTCCAAAGAAGCTTTATCCTCCTCTCCTCCTTCGCTTCCTGTTAGGATGATCTTGCCATGCCTTCCACATCCATAGGTTTATAAAATATAACGTACCTCCATGTATGTTTCAAGTTTTAATGAATCCACTTGTATAAGGAGTTGAAAACATAGGCATATAAATAGTATAATCAATTTTGGACAAGCCCCACTGAGTGGGGATTACCAGGCAGTTCCCACAGTTCCCATGCAGTCCACTCTCAAGTGTCCAGTGATTCCTCAACAAAGATGGCCGCTGCGACACTTCCGGTTCCTGCTCCTTGCGTATGACGTCACTTCCTCTTGACGCGTTTCGTCACATCCGGGACTTAGTCATAAGAGAGTCATGATCTCTCTTATGACTAAGTCCCGGATGTGACGAAACGCGTCAAGAGGAAGTGACGTCATACGCAAGGAGCAGGAACCGGAAGTGTCGCAGCGGCCATCTTTGTTGAGGAATCACTGGACACTTGAGAGTGGACTGCATGGGAACTGTGGGAACTGCCTGGTAATCCCCACTCAGTGGGGCTTGTCCAAAATTTGATTATACTATTTATATGCCTATGTTTTCAACTCCTTATACAAGTGGATTCATTAAAACTTGAAACATACATGGAGGTACGTTATATTTTATAAACCTATGGATGTGGAAGGCATGGCAAGATCATCCTAACAGGAAGCGAAGGAGGAGAGGAGGATAAAGCTTCTTTGGAGGATTTCCAGTTATATATATATATACAAAAGGCGTGAGTTTCATCTACTGGTGGTAAGGGTATATTGGCCTTACTCACTAGAAGTGTCACGTGTGGGGAGGAATCTCACTTAGTAGATCACTTCATGATTTCATTATTTATGAGCACAAGTGTTTTATTACCTTTCTCTTTTGGAAGGTTCTCACAAGTGTTAAATATATAATTTTTCACTTAAAGGTTGCACAATTGTTTGATACACATTTGTGTGTGCATGTGTTTTATATATATATATATATATATATATATATATATATATTCATAAAATTTATTATATATATATATATATTTTTTTTTTTTTTTTTTTTTTTTTGGTGGTATTATGGTAATGCACTATTGTGAGTTTCTTTTTCTTTGAGGTTCTTCACAACAATCAACACTGCAAGAAATAGACATTTTTTCATTTCTTTTTATTTTATTTTTATTTTTATTTTTATTTTTAATTTTATATATTTTTTCGTTATTGAGACACTGGACTTTATATTATTGGATTTAAATCACAGAGACACTGGATTTATGATTTTGTAGAAAGTATATGGGGAATATTTTGTTGTCACATATATAGTAGATTTATTGAAAGAGGGTAGATTCCTGTTTGGATCTATTGATTTGAGTTTAAGCTTTCAGGGGGTTGAAAGTTTTTTTCCAATTTGGAATTGGTGTAGGAGCAAGGGTGGTTTTGGTTTCACATTATACCTATATCATTTTCACATTATATTGAATATACCTGCACTCAGTTTGCTCTGATGTCCAAAATTATATTTTTCTAGTTGTTTCTTGTTGTGGTGTTTTTTTTTTTTTTTTTTTTTTAATCCTTTCTTTTTCTTTTTACAGACAGCCTGTCCCTGTACAGCTACAGTATTTTCTACCCACATATCCCCAATCTGCCTATCCTCTGGCTGCTCACACGTACACGCCTATAACCAGTTCTGTGTCCACTATACGTCAGTATCCAGGTTGGTGTTTATAATCATATCTTACTATGTTCTACATTCATTTAATAGACCTTGAAGTGCTAGAGCACTATATATTAACCCCTTTAAGGGGTTTCAGATGCCAGGGGAGGCTGTGATCGGCTGTCAGCAGTCACATGATCTGAATGCTCTCGATCAAAAGTAGAGATTGGGAGCTTTCCGTTGGCCACCTGTAACTGTGGCAGGAGCACATTTAAGGCCCACCCACCGAGAGGCCGCATGTATGTGTATGGCTGGAGGGAAGAAATTAACATTGTTGTGGGCTTAAAACATTGTCCTTGCTGTCAGCACAAGTTGATTATTACAGAAGAGTAACATAAAGGTCTGTATATGTTGACACATTTCTGTCTTTTTGATTATACATGAGTAAATTTAATGCAGCTTGAAAGTAACTGGCCATCAGTGATTTCAAGAACTTCTTGTTTTAAAAGTCTAATTTTTAGTTCTGGCAGAGTTATTTATAACCGCTTTAATATTTGTTTTCCAATGTTTTGGGTGGAACATCTAACACTACTGATTTCTCTTTATTTTCAGCACAAGCTCCAAAACTCTGCAATTACAGCACAGTCAGTGGCCTCCACCGTGCACCTAAACCCAATGCAGCTAATAAATGTGGATACATCACATACCCGTCACATTCAGGGGATCCAACCTGCACCAGTCAGTGCACAGGGGATGCAGCCTGCACCCTTCAGTACACAAAGTATTCAGGCCACACCTATTGGTACCCAGGGAATCCAACCACCTCCAATTAGTTCACAGGGAATCCACCCTGCAGGATCAATAGCCACTCAGGGTGTCCAGACGTCCTCTGTCAGCTCCCAGCAGGCTCCAAGTGATTCAAAACCTCCTGGTAATGTAATGTAAAAATATATTCAGTCACAAATTGTTTTGCTTGGAAAAAAAAACCCCAAAAACATTATCTTGATATCGTATAATCTGTTTGTGCTTCCTTCTCTCTAAATACACAATATTTCCGGTTTATTAATCTTCTGTTCTGATCTGAGATCTTCACCCAAATGCATATCTTCAGAGGTTTAGTGCATTTGGAATGAGATAGGAGAGTACATCACACACAGCACAGCATTGAGCAGTTTGGAGTACAGCACATTGAATGGAGTGGGGCAGTCTGGAGTATGTCAGTTACTGCACAGTATACAGAATGTGATTGTTTAGACTATAGCACTGAGCACAGCCAAAATGAATAGACTTTTGCTAGTATAATAAATGAGGAACTTTCTGCAGAAAGTGTCATGTAATAAAAAATACTATTATTTTCACTGTGTGTAAAATTATATTTTGCTGACTGGCAGTAAAGTGAAGGGCTAACAATAAGTACATGTCCACTGAAAGTACCCCTTGCAAATGAACCTCAGGGACATGACTCACTCCTACCCTGACCTACGTGTCATGCATACATACATAGTGCATTGTGCCTGCCATAGTCTGCTGCCATTTTGTGTAGGATGGAATGTAACTGCATCTGTCAGTATACATTTTTTCAATCTATGTGATGTCATTTCTGAAGGATTTAGTAGAGCTATGCATGTTAGTATATTGTGTTTTGGCAATCCAAACTGTGCATCCCATACATTTAGTTCAAATGGCAGTCCTGTACCTATTTTTCATTAGTGGATTAGAATATCTACATCAGCTAGCCGGCAGCCTATTTGTTCCCTAGGCCTCACTCTAACAGGCAGCTCTGCCCACTTCTAGCACATCACTTCCCTTGCCCTCCCAGTGTTGGCATTGTTAACACTGTAATGACCTGTTACCTGTTACTCTTCCCTCCCTGGATTTCTTCCTAAATAGAAGTATGGGGTGGGATTATATGTGACATTTTAATAATGCAGTGTATATCCTTGTACTTATCTAGGGCAGTGTTGTGTTATTGATTTCATTTTATTTCATATTACCATTCGTGATACATTTTAGATATGAATATGATTTATCCTTTCCTGAAACAAAGCACTGATGGCGTGTGTGAATGTATCTTCTCTTTATTTGCAGTTGTCCTTGCAGAAGGGGCTACAATTGTTGCCAATCCTCTAAGCAGCACTTTCACTACGGCCCCAGCTAACGCAGCTGTCATGCAGAGCCACAATCAGAGTCCAGGTATTGGCAATAGCCCTGCTCAGGGATCCTCTCCTCGGCCTAGCATCTTGCGCAAGAAGCCTGCCACTGATGGGTATGTTTGTTTATCTAAGTCATTACTTTTTAATTAAAATAAAGTGCTGGCACATGTAGAAGTATCTTATCACATCGGGTTATGCTCATTTTATTTGCGTGTGCAGTTAATTCCAGTATTTTCTTTTTAGCATCTAATGTTCTTTTTTGTTTTTTTCTTTTCCTGGTGTCCTCCCCTGCTGACACTCATACTTCGTTTTTTATGTATGTAGTTTATCCTTGCTGCTTTGAGTTACCTCTTACCCACAGTACATGAATATAGCTATCCTACACATCTGTGTCCTTCTTTGTGTTACAAATGTGAGCTCTAAAATAAGAAATACTATAGTAGATGTCAATGATGGTAATATACAGTAAGTTAAAGGCCAATTCAGGTTTTGCTGAAAATGCTATATTTAGGGTGCAGCAAAATAGTGAAGTATTTTATCATTGTATTCAATTCCAGAGAAATCCCAGTGGCAATAGAAAAGTCTGTGTGCTGCACTGTATTCTGAATGAAAGCAGCGGTTTGACAAGCCCCTACATGGTCACAGCTACAGATCTGCAATCAGGAACATTCTGCTAAAAATTTTGCTGCCACCTAAATGTATACAGTGTAAGGCCTGAGCTTGGGCTTTAAATGTAGGCTTGTAATTTCACCTTTTTTAAAATGCCAAATCTATTTGTCTATCCAAACTGATTTTAGGGATGTTTGTTCACATTCTTTTAGGGTCCATGTACACTGGTTTAAAGAAAAATGTTGCTTCTAGAAGAGTTTAGCCTTTTACCTGTAGAAGCAACTAATGTTATCCTATGTGTCCATGCACATTAGGCTATCTAGAGGCATGTTTTAAACTCTGCATTTAGAAGCAGAAAAAAAACTCCTCTGGTTTGCATTTTTGGGAGCAGTTTGTTGGGGGAAAAAAAGCTAAATGCACCTAAACGCATGTACAAAAATGCTCAAACTTAGCTTTTTTCTGCCAAGAGCACTGGTGTGTGTTTTTTTTTTTTTTTTTTTTTTTTTTTTTTTTTTAGCAAGTGTGCATGGACCCTCAAACACTGATCAATTGTTATTTGGCTGTTGTAAAAAAAAAATGATTCCTCAGGCAACTACTTGTGAGTATTATTATTACTTCCTTGGAGACTTTTTTCCAATTCACTCTCCCCTGTTTTTGGCTAAGGAAGGAATTAATGTCTCCAGGCATACTTGGACATTAAACTATAGATACATTTTAACTATTTTTCATAGCATGAGTTTTACTTCAAGGATACACTAAAATGAAGTGTGGACCTTCTCCCTGTCAGAGTCACTGTTGCAGCACAAATGGGGCTTTGAATGCTACAGCAAAAACATTGTATGGAATCCAAGTGATGCAGAGATTCAATTAACCATTTTGCCATCCTAAGGTCCTTTTTTCTAACACATCCTGGACTTACACTCTCCAGCCACTGTATTAGGTACACCTTGCTTGTGCCTAGAAAATATCACCCACACCATTACACACCACCACCACCACCACCACCACCGCCAGCCTGAACCGTTGACAAAAGGCAGGATGGATTCATGCTTTCATGTTTATGCCAAATTCTAACCCTACCATCTGACTGTCACAGCAACCAATCTGCCCAATCTCCTCTGCCATCGATGCATTTTCGTTCACACAACTGCCACTCACTGGATATTTTCTCTTTTTCTGACCATTCTCTGTAAACCCTAGAGATGGCTGTGTGTGAAAATCCCAGTAGATCAATAGTTTTTGAAATACTCAGACTAGCCCGTCTGGCACCAACAATTATACCATGTTCAAAGTCACTTAAATCCCTTTTCTTCCCCATTCTCATGCTCGATTTGAACTTCAGCAAGTCGTCTTCACCACGTCTGCTATGTGATTGGCTGATTAGCAATATGTGTTACCAAGCAGTTGAACAGTTGTACCTAATAAAGTGGCCTGTGACTGTATAGTGGTTAAATCAAGTCTATGGCTGCAGCCATGAGCTTGTTATCTTTTTTTTTTTTTTTTTTTTTTTTTTTTTTTTTTCACCCAACGATCATCTGTTCAGGTAAAGTGACCCGGGCAGCTGTAGATCACTTTTAAAGGGCGTTTCACTGAGGTGCTCAGGACCACAATAAACTGAGAGCAGAGGTGGAACAAGGAACATTTGTACCCTGCGGGCAATGAAGCTGGATGAAATAAGCATTTTACTCCCTACTATAGCTAGGGAAGCAGCTTTAAAGCATGATCTGGGCTTGGTTAGCTGTAGGATCTGGGTAGATATTTGGGGTCTAAAAAACCCTGTATTTCTCCACAAAGAGAACCTGTCAGCTGTCCATTCTATCACATAGGGGGCTTGCTAAATGAAAGAAAAAAAACTGTAAAATAAAAATGTAAAAGAACCCCTCGTGCACACTATACGCTAATATGCGTGTGTATGTAAACAAAAATTGTGCCATTCACGTGAGGTATTGCTGTAAACATTGAAGGTGAGGGCAATATTTTTTTTAAAATAACCTGTAAAGGTGTTTTAAAGTGTCTCCCATTAAAAAATGTAATTAGTTTTTCTCCATTTCATGGGTGTGCACAATTTTGAGACTTTAGACATGTTTGGTATCTTTTTACTCAATGCAATCTTATCTTTTTAATGTTACCAAAAAATGGGTATTATATTGTGGTTGTAATATTAATTTTAGTGTGCTTGTGCTTTTTACTGAAAATGTGTGCTTGATAAGCTCTCTGCCTGTCTTTCTAGGTAAAATATCTGCCTTCCTATAGCATGGTACTGATACACAAACTACTGTTAATTCTTACTGCTCAGATTTTAGCCAGTGGTTGTATAGTGTTGTACGGTGTAACTAGTGAAAGATAGTTTTGCTTTGTAAGGATAAGGGTAACTTTGCACACTGTCCATTGCCATGTTTATTATAGGCTTTAGTGTTTAAACCATTGTCAAACTCTTCTCATATTGTTCATCTACTGTGTGTTTCTTTAACAGGCTGTCTGTTAGAAAAAGCCTAATTCCTCCACATCCAGGAGATGCAGTAAGCCCACGACACGACAGCTCTATGCGAAGCACTTCTGCTTCTCCTCGGCCTGCTGGGTAATTCAAATGTAGAAATGTATGAGGGTCTAAAGGGAAACCTGTGATGAAGAAAATATGGGGGGCTGCAATTGTTGACTTTGTAAAGATGTAGGCTTCATGGCTGTCATCTGATTCTGGCTTCTCTTCCCAGTGGGTTATGGGAATATGCAGCCAATGAAAATTTAAAAGTGTGAACTCTAATCTCACACACTTTTGTGCATCTCATTGACTCATTAGGCTATACCGCAGCATAGGTTCAGATGTTTTGCTGTGTTCAGAGGTGGCAACACTCTGTGCTATGGCCACATACAGAGTCTCCGATTTGCTTGCGGTCAGTTTGTGTGGAGCCAGAAACTCTATAGAAACACTATACGCTGTCTGTCCAAGGTTGGCTGGAGGCTCTATTAACATATAAGAGTTGTAACTGGGTGGTTACATGTTTACAGCAGCAGAGTACAAATCTGACAGCAGTGGTGCCTGCTATAGATTTGTATAGAGTACAAATCTGATGGCCACCACTGACAGCTACTGCTGGTGGTACACAGTGTGTGTAGGCAGCATTTAGAACCACAGGTTGAAATCTTCTGATTCTTGTTGGTGGCTGCCCCTGACCACTGCTGTGCAGCTATGGGAAGGTGGCCTTAGGTAGTTAAAAACCCAAGTGCAGACAAAAAACCCCACCAAAATAATCAGCACGTAACACAGTCAGTAGGATTTGTCCTTTGTGCTGATGTATCTTTTGTTGATATCATCCTCCTCTTCCCGGGGTTAATAGAATGGCTGTCACAGGCTCTCATTAAGAGAGCCTGATTATGCCCATCCTTTCTGCACAGCTGCTGTACCACAGCTTCTATGAATGGAGGATGATTGATAGATCAATCCCCTCCATTCATTGATCACATTTCACTCATTGAAGCTATAGTATTGTTTCATTTCTATGAATGGCAGAGTTGGGTGGGCATAGTAGGGCTCTCTTGATGAGAGCTTGTGACAGCCCATTATTTCAATTAATCTGCACCTGATGATTATGGCAGCAGGGGTGGTGAGGTCATGGACGGAGGAAGATTGCAACAACAGGAGAGGCACAAGGGCTAACATCCTACTGACTATAGTTATGTCCCTTCTGCTGATTTTTCTGTTTTTTTTTTTTTTTTGGCTGCACTTTGCTTTAGATTTGTCTAAGCATGACAGCCCGCACAACCTGTGTCTATGAAAATGGGTCGGCAAAGATGGCTCCCATAGTTCAGTATTCATAGGTTCCCTTTAAGAACATGTTCAGCCAAGATCAGTATGTCTATCAATAGAATCAAAAAGTCATGCATTTTATCACTTTGTAAGGCTCATAACTAAAGGGAATGTATAGAGTTTTTTTTTTTTTTTTTTTGTTCAATTACAATATGTATTATTTAAAAATTGTCTTTTTGTCAGGGGAAGGTTAAAATTTTTTCCTGAATGAATGTTTCCCCCAAGTTTCTGTCTTGGTGAGACTACAGTGAAGAAGGAATTTCTGAAAGAAATTCACAAACAACCCTAAAAGAGACTGAACTCTATTTGCTCTGTTAGTAAATATGCTGCAATTGCTGTTTTGTCTCTGTTGGAGAAATGATCCTTCCGCTTCTGACAACTAAACAGGAAGTGACTGCAAGTGTCTCCTGCAGAGATACAGACAGCAGTAAAAACACTGTGGTGTGCAGATTACTGCAACTATATCTTGAACTCACATTGTTTAAAGCAATTTTACACATTTTTTTTTTTTCCTTTTACTTTTCCTTCTCTGTTTTAGTGTAAAACCAAAAGCCGAACCTCACATTTCTGTGGCTCCAGGAGTGACTGGGGATCCAGGCACAGGTGGTGATCAGCCGAGTGCAGCTGCATCTCTTCCCTCTTCTCATCATCCCACAGCCGCTGTGCCCAGTCCACCATCTCAGCCTATGCCTGGACCCCTCCCCAGCAGCATCCATGTCCCCCCTGTTGCTGTCCCTGCCTTATCTGCACCTCCACCTCTCTTGAGCAGTGCACCTTCAGGAGCAGCAGTCCCTGAGACAAAAGTGAAGGAGGAGGCAGAACCAATGGATATAACTAGACCAGTTTCAGGTAGGTAATTTTATTATGGCTTGCTTTAGCCTTTGTATTAGCAAAGACTGGCCCAAGATAATCTGCTGGGAATTGTGACTATTTTGTGCCTAATATTTTGTCATCAGCTAAACATTATGTATAAATCCAGAGTATACATAGAATAAACTGCATCTATGTAGTTCAGGGTTCTTTTTAGTCTTTTTTTTTTTTTTTTTTCCTCCCCTGCATTAGTTTTTACACATACCACCTGACTCCCAACATGAAATCTTCATGTCAGTTGAGGTTATGCTTGCTGTTTTGGCTTTTTTAAACCAGATTAGGAAAGTTTAATGTGCTGTTGCTGCGTTTTATCTAATTTGTTTTCTTTTTTTTTTTATTAATTTAACTAGCAGTTCCTCCACTGACCCCAGGATCCATCTCCTCCCCACTAGTTCTTCTTGCCAATAACATCTCTGTGCCTGCTGGGGAATTGCCGCCAGGAGCCTCTCCCCGCAAGAAACCTCGCAAACAGCAGCATGTTATATCAACTGAAGAGGGAGACATGATGGAGACCAATAGCACAGATGAGGAGAGATGTCACACAGTAAAGCCCTTAACATCAAGACCAGAGAAGCGCAAGTCTCCTCCTAAAGAGTACATAGGTATTGTACCTTTCTGTCCAAATCTTTTTAGATGCAACTTTTCAAAAGGCTTGTGTCTGTAAAATCTGTGTGTTTAATTGCAGATGAGGAAGGTGTGCGTTATGTTCCTGTTAGACCTCGACCTCCTATTACACTGCTGCGCCATTATCGAAATCCTTGGAAAGCAGCTTACCATCATTTCCAGCGTTACAGCGATGTACGGGTCAAAGGTAAGTAATCAAAAAAGGCAACAGATGTATGTAGTATATGCTTTTTTTTTTTTTTTTTTGGTCTTGGAGTGACAGGTGCATTGATTCATCTGGCCTTTTTTGTTTCTTACCTATTTAACCAATTTTAGAGTGACCCCAAAAGTGTCATTTACTTGCCTTATCCAGCATGTCTGGCACTTAGCTGATGTTTCCAGGTCCTCTGTGTAAGAACCCCTGGTAACTAAAATGATTAGGCGCCTCAAGATACCCGAGTTTATTAAAAACATCTATGTAGTTCACGCAGTGTGTGTGCACATGTGTGTAAAAATTGTGGACAATTGTATATTCTGATATACACAAACAGCGCACAATTATCCTTCCCAGACCTTCATATATTCTCACCAGAATCTCCCCAATCAGAATGTGTTGTATATCCTGATCTCTCTTTTTTTCTTCTTGACCATCGATTTGACTGCTTCCAATCTCCAAAGCAAAAAAACTAATATAGTGCAGTAATTTCCACATATAATATAATACGTGATACACCCCTGCAAAATGTAGAACACTATGTCAATCGTGTCCACCACTATTCACACTAATTACTCTTACCCTCACAGGGTGAGAATGTGCATACAACTCTCCATCGCTATAAGTATCGTCTTAAGAATGTCACTATACTTCAACCACCCTTAATGTGCAAACAAATCAACGTGCTCGTTCCCTTCCCCTTCAGGCATGCACCTTACACTGCTTGCAGCGATAAATGCTTTTCAATACAGAGTGTAATCTTCAATCCATGAATGAAGTCAACACTACAAACCAAATTTGAGCTCTTTTTGTCATTCTTTCTTACAGAGGAGAAGAAATTAACATTACAGGAAATAGCCAACCAGAAGGGGATTGCTTGTCGTGTGCAGGGCTGGAAAACACATCTTTGTGCTGCACAGTTGCTACAGCTGGTAAGCCTTTTGGAGTTTTTTTTTTTTTTTTTTTTTTGTTTTAATTATTTTTGCTTTTAACAACCATTCTCTTCCTCCAGATTAAACTGGAACAAGATGTGTTTGATCGGCTGACTGTTCTCCAAGAAGGGCTCATCCCCCAAAAAGAAGACTGCCACGGATGATGATTTGCACAGGATCAATGAACTAATACAGGTAAAAAATGCAAATTTTAATCCTACAATATTTCAGGTGGTGTTTCTGGCTTTATGATGTAAGGGGTATTTTCCCCATGTGTTTCAAGTTTGTGAATATTTAAAACTGAAGAAAAATTGAATAGTGCAGGTATGGAATTTAGATGTGCTTATCACTACATTTTTTTTCAAATTACAGGCAATGTTTATTTCAAATTAATCTTGGACAGTTACTGGTTTGTATGGTAAAGGAATGCATAAACAATGTTCTTTCTCACATTTTGTTAAGAAAAAAAACAAAGACCCCAGGTACCTGTTGGTTCTGTCTGATGTGAGCACCCAACTGGAATAAGGGAAATGGCTCAGCAAGGCTGAATATTTCCCAATCATTCACAAGGGTGTCTTATACTTTTGTCAATTAATACAAGGTTTCCTTTAATTGGTTGAGGAGATCGTTATGTCATCTGGTTGCCTCTCCACCTCAGCCAGCTTGGCTAAGATTAACTATTTAAATTAAAAAATGAACCTGGAGTTGGGCTTTGAAGCTGTAGTAAAGTCTCTTTTATAATATAAAATGGGCCTCGCTGCAGGTTTGAGTCATAATGTACTGCATACTTGCACAGTATGAGACCTGCTTGCAAACGGAGCTGTCCAGCACTGCACTGTCACAGCTCCCAGGCGCTTCCATCTTCACCTGGTCTTCCTTCTGGGTTAGGAATCTTTGGCCGCTTGAATGGCCGGGTGGCAGTGATGTCACTCCTGTGCATGCGTAAAGGAGTCACATCGCTGCAGCATGCAGTGCGGGCAATAAATGTGGTTTGAATTGTGCATACGCGGCTCAGATCACATTACCGGTTGACAGATGGTAGGGAGATTTACGACAGAAGAGACCTCTAGGGTCTCTTCTGTTATGAAAGTCCTGCCTGCCACCAGATTTTGCGTTTCCCCAGTATACTACTACTTTAGGCTCTGTACAGCATCTTGAAAGATGATTGTTTTCAGTGTGTCACATAATTTATTAATAATCTCCATACTCTCTTCTTATCAGTAGAAAGGATAATGTTTAATATGAAACAAAAATGTAAGGAAAATCATTAGCTAAATGCAAAATAAACCCTTCCTTACCAAGCCTCTTCTCTGCAACCTTCCACTACAGTTTTTTTTTTTGTTTGTTTTGTTTTTTTACAATAGCTAATATTTTTAGCAACATTGTGACATAGGATTTTGGTGGTTATTACAATTTATGGTTGTGTCAAAAATATAAGGTACCAGTTTAAAGCTGTTTGTAAATAGATTTTAATGTGTATTTTCCCAGTTTGCATTACACGTGCTGCACATCAAGACTTTCTTAATTTAGCAGTTGGCAACATTTGCAAAATGTTGTAATTTTATTAGTTAGGTCTGCCTGTGAAAGTAACACACACATCAAGATTTATACTACTGACAGAAAAACTGTCTCAAAAAAGCAATCCTAAATTCATATAGATATCTTGCAGGATAAAAAGGATTTTTATTTGTTGAACTGATGCAGTGTTGCAAAACAGGTTTAGCTTTGGCTGTGAAGTGATTACAAAATGTTAGCGTCTAAAATAACATTTCCCTTTTGTTCATTGACGGACACAGTGTCTTCCATTCCCGACCATAGGGTGTATAGCGCCACCTACAAGAGTAGGACACTAGGCAGAAAAAATAAACCTATGAGCAGTCCTGGCTGATATAAACCCCTTTTCTGCATAGGCAACCAATTTTTTTTTTTTTCTCTGTTTAGTGCTCTGGAGTAGTGCTCTGTGCTATGACCTGTGGTTCTGTAGGATTTTTTTTTCCCTCCATTTTTCTGTCTTTTTTTCCTGCGGAGAGCTTCAATCAACAGCCAGGCTGGGCGGCGGGCTGGATTATATAGATCCAATGGTCACCCAAGCCTGGCCAGTGAGCGCATGCAGACCCCAGCCAAGTGCTTGGCGGACTGCAACATGCCCCATCCTGGACCAGGGATCCATGTCATACAGCCCGGCGGCCATAATTTTGGTGTCTGCATTGCCCAAATAGGGACCTGGGCTTTGGTGGGCAGGGTTTTTGTGGCCATTTTCTTATAGCCACATGGTGGCCTCCTTACTGCCTCTGGCCCTTGTGGGTAACATAATTTGCTGAATGTGTGTTCCACGTGGTTTCTCAACCTGCTTCCATTTGAGGGAACTGCTGGCAGCTCTGCACGTGCCTTAGTGGTGGTAAGTCCTTGTGGGGGTATCTTTCTACTGGCCTTGTATTCGTTGGTTTGGGGTTCCTTGCGACTAGTGTGTCTCCCTAGCGGTGCCTTCCCTGTGGAACCCCTTCCAGAGGTGGAGTCTCAGGACCACGTTTTTCCACCTGACTCCCTCCTTGAGGTGGCGGGCCCCTCTGTTCCCATTGCCACACTGACAGCCATCCTGGAGTCCTTCGTTTCCTGGGTGGAGGTGGCGTTAGGTGTGCAAGAAGCAGCCCCTGCTCTCTCCTGCTTTATCGGCCTCATCGGATCCTAAGTCCGGCTCTGGCGCTGTGAATGTGGGCCTGCCCACAGGTCCTGCTGACGAGATCCCCAACCCTTCCGACTCGGAGTATGAGTTCTCTGCTGCTGCCGTCAAACACGAAAAGGCACCGGTGGACGCACTTATTACTTCTGTGTGAGAAACCTTAAAAAATGGAGGATGCTTCTGGGGCTGTCATGGAGGTGTCTGTTCCCTTTTAACATGCACAAGCTGCAGTGTAGGTGTTACCTTATCCTCCTTTTTTTTTTTTTTTTTGACAAATTTGTTTACAAGGATTGAGTGTCTTAAGAGACCCTTTGTGGTCCAAAAGTGGCTTGCTGTGCGTTACTACTTCGATGAATCTCTTCTAAAGAAGTGGACCCTCCTATTTCCGGGTTGAATAAAGTGACCATGATACCAGTGGAGGAGTCTGTCCTTTAAGGATTCGGCAGACAGGAATGCGGAGTCAGTTGCCAGCACGATATCCACTATTGCAGGATCGACTCTTAGACGTTTAAAATGAGCACCAAATCGTTTCTTCCCTTGCTTGATGGTGGTCACGATAGACATAGACGGGAGGAGTACTCGGGGGCAAGCTCAACCAAGGGTTGATGGACGCCCTATTACCAATCCATGTCCTGGGTCATCAGGCTCTGTCTGGAACAGTGGACATAACGTCTTTGGGGGCATACTGCCTGGATGCAGTTGTCAGTGCCATGGCAGTGGCCTTTGTCAACCACCAGGGTGGAACAGAGAGTGGCAGCGTCGCTGGAGGCCTCCCGCATTCTCAAGAGGGCAGAGTGCCATGTACCTGCTTTTCCCATCATGCTCATCCCCTCCTATATTATAAATATATATAAAAAAAAATTTCTTACACTGCTTGTTACTAACTGGATTGCCTGTGCAGAGAGGGAGTTTATATCAGCAGGACTGCCCATAGGTGGTGCAGTGTTTTTTTTTTTTTTTTTTTTTTTTTTTTTCCTGCCTAGTGTCCCACTCCTGTAGGTGGCGCTATAAACCCTAAGGTTGAGAGTGGAAGACGTCAGTCAATGAGCTCAGAAAGGGATTTTACGATGAATAACAAAAAAATGCAGTTTTTGTATTGACTTCAAAATTTTGTGTACTATTAGGTTTTATTATTCATTATCTTCTGTTTGCCATTTAACTGTATTTGGTGTGTGTTTTGTTTTGTTTTTTACCCACAGGGTAACATGCAGCGCTGTAAGCTTGTCATGGATCAGATCACAGAGTCCCGGGACTGCATGCTTAAAGTTCTAGATCACAAGGATCGTGTCCTAAAATTGTTGAATAAAAGTGGTGCAACTTCGCAGGCTCTCCAAAGTGAAACACAAAGACAAGATTTGACCAGTGGGACTACTGCTCTATTTACGAATAACAGCGTACAAGTGGCTGCTTGCTCGGTGTTGTCCCAGTCACCGTGGGTCATTCACATGTATATAGAATTTTTTTTTTTTTTATTTGGATGGATGGGAATGAACCTAGTTACTCTTCAATCCCAGCCTGACTGACAGCTCTGCCAGTTGCTATTTGGGACTTATGAACTTTCTCTGTAATGAGGAAGCCTATTTTCTTCATTTATTATCTGGTGCTGCGTATGAGAACAGATTAGTGTGTGTGATACATGCTTGTGTATAGTGCTGTTTATCCCATGTACACTATAAAAGTAACTCCTAATTGTGTTCTGTGTTTTGAAGAAGTTTCTTCTTAAAGCACCAAACAAGCCAATGCAGAAGCTGTTGTACTGTTATTGTAGTGCCCCAATTGTATGTGTCAAAAGTTTTCTTATGTAAATAATGTTGCTTGATTTACTCTTTGGCGCTTACCTTTTACTTTTAAATAGCTTTCCTGTTTTACCTTCCTTTAGTGTTCTATAAATCATTGTTAAGCAAGGGTTTCTTTTTTTCCACCCCTCCTCAAGTTCATAGTATAACTGCTAATGCTGAGAAAAGCAATATTGATGTTTGTGTGCTAAAACTAGAAATTAGCTGGCAAACTAAGACTGTGACTAAAGGAAAGCCTTAGTCACAGTCTGCCTAGCTCCTCTGTTAGAGAGTTTCATCTTGCTGGCCACCTTGTGTCACTAAATGATGTAATGCAGCCTGCGGTATAACAGAAAATGCAGTTATCTGAATTGTGCGCTACATGACACAGGCTGAGTATTCATAGACCTTGGGATATAGGCTCATACTTTCACTTGACTGGACACTGGCAAAGCTTTTGAGGACATGCCCCTAGGTGCCTTCCCTATACCTCTCCCTCAATTCTGTGAATTCTCTATTTTTTTTTTGTCCTAAGATGATGCACCTATCTTACCGTTACTAGTTTACTTTATTTTCAGATTCTTTAAACATCTCTATATGCTAATACTGCAATAGAAGCCGTGCATCTAGATTGGTGCAGCCTTGGTAAATCCTTAAACCGTATCTGAACCCCACGCTATGGGGACAGCTTTGGGCACTGGATCCACGTAAGTGCTCACTTCTGCACTTTATGAAAAGCATGTAGTTGGCCACAGGATGCTACACAGGTCTAGGGCCTTCATCCCTATGGGACCTAGATCCCGAAGATCCCTTCAGGGATATGCCCACCATGAAGAATGAGACCTGAACCCAAAATTGGGACCAGATTTGTGGACACAGACAGGGTCACCCTGTATCTCTGTTACTGTAAAAATAATGGGACTATGTTTGGAATGTATTCACTTTACAATGTAAACGTTTCAAATGTGGAACCTTTCAGAAAGTGCACCAAACACATGGAACACGATATAACTCTCTGGGAAAGTGCAGCTATCCTGCTCCAAACACATTGGTAAAGCTGCAGCAGTGTGAAAGTGGGCCAAGCCAAAATTCTCTTTTGCCTGCCTGTAACACTCTGAATAGGAGGAGAGACAACACCGTAAGCTTTATGTAGTTAATATGAGCTTTCCCCAACCCTTCATACACATCTTGGCATTTAGCAGAAGGGACAGCATGCGTAGCTGGGAGAAGATACACACAGATCGAGTAAGGTAGTTTTAATATTGCTTGAACCTTTAAGGAAAACCCAATAGTGACTTCTGTTGCTGACCTATCCTGTTTGCTTTAACGATCTGATTGATCTGCAGTATTTTTTTATTGATCTACCTGCAGTAATTTCTGATTTGCTGACTCAGAAGATGTGTGCAAGTTCGTTCTGGCTTATTACAGGTCTGTGACTTTCCCAGTCTGCATATACCCCCTCCTTTTGCCAGCATGCCTCAGTTGTTTGCTAGTATCCTAGAAAATTGGAAACTTTTTCTTCAGCTTTTGTAAATAAAGTCCATTGTTTGCTAGCCATCTTTTCTTCATGGATTCATTCTTCTGTGGCTGAACAATCAAGATTCCTCAACAAATGCTGTATATAGCATAACCATGTAGCCGTTATCCGGATTGGTATTTCCTCAGCCTAGCATTGCAGACTGTACCCAGAGCACAATGAACTGGACTTGTAGGGCTAGCCCAAGTTATGGCGCTTTCCACACCTGAGCGTACTGTTAGTCCCAGAACCAAAGCACAGCCCCAGGTGTGACCCTGTTCTGTTTCTGAAGACTGGCTTTGTGAGTAAGGCTAGTTGGGCTAAAGCACTGAAAGCTAACTCACTGTTCAGTCCAATGGGACTGAGTGCCTTTGTTATCCGCTGGGTTGAGTATTGCATGTGTGTTTGAGTGTACACATGTGCTTGCTCCTGCCATTCATCCTGGAAAAAGAAACATCCCACTGATCTTCCTATTCTTGAAGCTCTGTGGATCTCCTGGTCTGTTTCCACAGACTGCCTACTGTGCCCTGGTAACCTCCAGCCACCTATAACCCATGTCAGTACCAGCTTTCCTGGGTTTGAGAGTACCTATTGCTTCATCTCAGATTTGGGCCATTTTGCGTTACTGCTATGTGGATGCAATATTTCATTAAGGCAGAATGTATAGTCCCGCTGCCACGGGTGGTTCTGGGGGATCCTCAGAGGGAACTGGTGCTTTTAATCAGGGACCCTAATTGTCATATAATTATTATGGGGTCTACCTCCTCTGAGTCCTAGTCCATGGCCATAGCCCCTCAGTGTTAACTCAGGACATGCAGGCTGTTTTTTGCTCAACTACTTGGGTGCTTTACCTGCAGAGGCTCTAAGCACTCTCCTGCAACATCCACTGCAGAGTCTGTCTCTGACCCTCCTGAGCCCTTAAATCAAGCTGAGCCTGTGGTCCCTTTCCTTGGATTCAGAATCCCAGCAGTCTAGCTCTGAGGAGATTGTTTTTGAGGAATTGCAGTCTCCTGACCTTAACTCAGATTCATGGGGCATTGCAAACCTTATTGATGCAGTGCATACTACCCTGCATCTGAAAGATCAGACTGCTGTTCTAGGCCTTGGGTTTTTTAGAGTTTCTACAGCAGCAACAACAACAGTTTCATTACACCTATTTGAGATAGTCTTTAGGACTGGCAATACCCAAAGCCCCACCTGTGAGTGTCAAAACTTTTCCCTTTTGAAAGGATATTACCTGTGGTCTGTTCCCACCATACACTATAGACACACCTTTCAATAGGAATACCACTAGACTTGTTGAGGGCACGGTTACCTTGTGGAATTCCACTAACAGGAAGTTAGTCTCTGCTTATGTCCAAGTTTGATGCAACTCTTCGTCTTGTGTTGGCAATGATTTTAATGTGTCCAATGGTGTCATAATGAGTGGACAGGGGTGTGGAAGTGTTTGAAAAAACTACTTGTTCAGGGACTAAATCTGGGTCCCAGTCTTCTTGTCCTGCATGACAATCTACTTTTCCAGATAAGAAAAAAAAAATGTTTTTAACCAAAACCGTATTTAAATCTGGTGCTTTTAGGAATGTCTGGGGCTTTATGGTGACTTAACACATTTAATTTTTTTTTTCTTTTGTTTTATAATTCTTTATTTAGACAATGTGCATATACAGGTAGTACCATCACACAATAAATGAAGAGGAAGAACCACATACATTTGTAAACAGTTATACATGCCATAAGGCATTTACAGTTTACTGAGTTCCTGAGATCAGCAGTAATAGGCCATATACAACCCATCCATAACAACATTTTAAATTTTTTTTTTAACATTGCACTGTATATCTCCTCCTCCCCTTCCTACCTGACTCCAGCACCACACCCGGGGACTAACAGGGAGGAGAGAGACCTTGCAGTGTGAGCACTGAATGGGTGCTTGTCAGGAAAGGGGAGTATCAGACTTATCCTTTATTGCTTTTGCTGCAAGAGCCCTTTTTGCGTTTTTTGCACACGTTTAAAAAAAAAAAAAAAAAAAAAAAACAATTATTTTAGGCCTGAAGATTACATAAAAACCCCAAAACATTATATATTTTCTGAAAGCCTAGAGAATAAAATGGTGGTAGTTCAAATTTGTCACATTGCACGACATTAAAGCACAGTAAAAAATACACTTAAGTTACTTTTAGGGCACAAAAACAGCAATGAATTACCCTGTTTTTTGGTAAAAAATAAGATGAGGTTGCACCAAGTAAATAGATTTCCAACACGTCAAACCTTAAATTTGCACGCACTCGTGAAATGGTAACAAACTTTTCGTACCCTATATTTTCTTTAGGTGACCCTTTTAAAGCCCCCTATAGGTCATCAGTTTAGTGTTACGTGGAGGTCTGCTGCTAGAATTCTTGCACTCATTCTGGCGTGCACGGCAATATGTAACGTGTATCGCAATCAATGTTTTCAAGCGTAGGCACCCCAGCGCGTGTTTTTACGCTTGTACGTGCGTACATGCGGGGGCACAATTATTTTATTTTATTTTTTTTGTTTGAGGGGATATTATGTGCTTGGGTGTAACTATTTTTTTTACAATTTAAAAAACATTTTTTTTCTACTTTATTTTTGATGATAGGTTCTCTTTATTGAGACATCAGTGTCTAAAAGACCCTGCATTTCTCTTGAGAATGTAATGCGGTGTACATCACGCTGCATTACATTCTTTCCCGGCCTCAATGGCTGGGAAATCTGTGAACGGGGACCCAGAAGTGATGTCATAACGTCACTTCTGCGACAGCAAAGGAAGGGGAGCTCACATGTCTCTCCTCCCTCCCCTCTAGCCACTGGTGCACGCTGAACCAGTCCCGGGTTCACATATAGGCAAGTGGAGTCCGGGAGACATAGCTGGAGGGGGCAGAGGCTGGCACCGCAGTGGGCAGTGCAAAAGCAATCAGACGGCATCGCAGTTGTCTGAATGTTTTCACCTGACAGGTGAGCCCTGCTACTTGCCCACAGCAGGGCTGAAGGTTGAAAAAAAACCTACCTGCCCCGGCCCCCGGAACTACATGTGTCGGCCAATACAA